AGCTCCCGTCTGTCCCATGTCCCACCAACCCCTCCTCTGAGCCTCGGCTCCCCGTCTGTCCCATGTCCCACCCACCCCTCTAAGCCTCAGCTCCCATCTGTCCCATGTCCCACTGACCCCTCCTCTGAGCCTCGGCTCCCATCTGTCCCATGTCCCACTGACCCATCCTCTGAGCCTCGGCTCCCATCTGTCCCATGTCCCACCCCTCTCCTCTGAGCCTTGGCTCCCCATGAGTCCCAGGGTGGTTTTGAGGAACGAATACAACGGTGCCTGGACAGTGCCTGGCACACAGGGAAGCCCAGGGTGGTCATTTTCAGTCCTAGACAGAGGACTGGGACCTCTCTGTAGGGCTGTCATCCTTGTTTCCTACTCTCAATTTCTGAATCCTCGAATTGGATGATGGCATATTGATCCTGTCTTTGCCTAACAGCTGAGAGAAAGAGATGGATGTTGGCTGAAGAATGATGGCCTGGTGCTCAGAAGGGCCTCTTTGCAGGGAAGGTGTGCAAGGACTTGACCAGCAGACATCTTGAATAGGACCATGAGTCTCCAGGGGTCTTGGGTCAGTACCTGATCACTAGCCACAGGTCCTTAGTGAGCTCTTGAAATGTGGCTTCTGTCATCAGGAAACGATGTTTAGTCTTGTTTAATGTTAATTAAACTTAAAAACCAAAGCAGTGCAGATTTTTTATTGTTTATGTGTTGAAATGATAGTATTTTTTGATAGATTGGATTAAATAGAGTTATTGAAATTTCATCTTTTTTTTTTTTACTTTTTAAATGTGTCTACTTGGAGATTTAAAATTACGTCTGTTGCTGGTCTGTTTTATTGGACAGCACTGCTCTGGAGTCAGGGAGTGGCCATCATGGGATGGTTCACCCAGTCCCAGCTCCTTAGTACTTGATACTTTGCTCTGAGTGAGGGGGCACAGAACTAATACTTATTTTTAGCCCAGTTATATCAGGAACTTCATAGGTAATCATTTTTCTCACCTTTGATTTTAAAAAAATAAACATTTTAGAATAGTTGGAGGTTTACAGAAAAATTGCAGAGCTAGTAGAGTTCCTGTTTACTCTACACCTAATTTCGTCTGTTGTTAACATCTTACACTAGTATGGTATATTTGTCGCAAGCGGTGAACCAACCAAAATTGATATGTTATTATTAACTGTCGTCCATGCTTTATTGAGATTTCCTCAGTGTTCACCTATTGTCCATTGTCTCTTCCAGGATCCTACATGACAGTTTGTCCTCATGTCTCCGCAGGCTCCTCTTGGCTTTGACAGTTTCTCAGACTTTCCTTATTTTGATGACTTGGACAGTTGTGAGCAGTGCTGGTCAGGGCTTTTGTGGAATGTCTCTCGACTGGGATGTGTCTGGTTTTCTCATGAATAGACCAGGTCATATTCTCTTTTTTAAATGTCGGTACAGTCTTCCTAATTTCTTAGGTCTTTTTAAGGAAACAGATTCACTCTGAGGTTAAAGGATTTGCTTGAGGTAGAACCGGACTCCAGCTTTATTGGTTGAAGCTGTATTTGCTCACTGAGTCTAGATTTATGGAAGCAGGGGCTGTCCATGCTGGAAGGTTCCAGAGCCTTATCCAGTGAAATCTCCAGCCTCTTCCTGGGTCACTTCATCCAGTTCAGGCTTCCTGTGTCTGTGCCTGTAGTTCCCGGATGTCTTCTCGGCTCAGCCGCAGGCTCCCACGTGCCTAGCCACGCAGCATCTTGGCCTGCTTGTGCTGCGGGCACCCCAGGTTCACACGGCCCCGCCAGAACCCTTGAGTCACCACCACTCCCCTCAAAACTTATTCTTCCATGACTCTGTCTCAGCTAAGTACATTGTTTTCCCAGCTCTGCCTTTTATTAACTTCAGTTCCGTGAGCCACCAGGCATGCCTGTCTTCACAAGACTTGGTCGTTTCTCAGCATCTTTGCTGTGGCTGTCCCCACTCTGTCAGCTCCTTCTCAACATTCCAGCAGCGTCTCCGATAGACTCCATGGTAACAGGAATGTTTTCTTCCTCACTGTCCAATGTGATAACCACTATCCTGTGTGCATTTAAAATTTGTTTAGTGCTACTGGGGAAATACGGTTTTATTTAATTTTCATTATTTTGAATTTAAGTAGTCACATGCCTAGTGGCTACTATTGGACAGCACAGTTGCAGACTCTGCTTCAGTGTCCCCTTCAGCAAGACCACACTGGCCGCCCCGTAGGCGCTTCCCAGCTGCCCTCCCACAGCCACGCCTTCCTGTCACCTGGTTCCGTTTTCTCCGTGTCACTGATCACCTTGTTGTTATTATCCACCTCTCCTTACTAGAATGTAAGTTGCACAAGGGCTTTGTTTGTTTGTACTGTTTACCATCCAGTCGCCTGGAACAGGCCTGGCAGCACTCAGCTCTGGGCTGAGTGAGATGTGCCCCAGGAGGCTGGCCTCTCCAGAGCCGGTGGCAGAAAGCAGAGTGCCGAGGGCACTGGCTTCTCCCCTGTGCCTTCCCAAGACGGAAAGACCATCTTGTCAGAAATATCCAGGGTGACTTGTGAACAGGAGTCAGAGGACATACCATCTCATATTTCAACATTAGGCGAGAACCACTGTCCCTGGTCAACCTGCGGAAGAGGAACCTGGAATCTGGAGAAGAGGAACTGGCCTCCAGGCTGGACCACTACAAAGCCAAGGCCACGCGGCACATCTTCCTCATCAGGCACTCCCAGTACCATGTGGACGCCTCCCTGGAAAAGGACCGCACTCTGACACCCCTGGGTACGTGCTGGGGGCTCCGGACCCGGACTGACCCCCGAGCCCGGCCTCCTTGGACCTGTGTCAGAGACTTGGCCCAGATTCGAGCATTGTCATTATCATAATTATTAGCCTAACTCCGACACATGACAGGCTTTAAAAATGTCCTCAGCTTTAAAAAATACAATGGTTAGGGGCCGGCCCCGTGACTTATCAGTTAAGTGCGTGCGCTTCGCTACTGGGGGCCCGGGTTCGGATCCCGGGCGCGCACCGATGCACCGCTTCTCCGGCCATGCTGAGGCCGCATCCCACATACAGCAAGTAGAAGGATGTGCAACTATGACGTACAACTATCTACTGGGGCTTTCGGGAGAAAAAGGGGAAAAAGAGGAGGAGGATTGGCAGTAGATGTTAGCTCAGGGCCCATCTTCCTCAGCAAAAAGAGGAGGATTGGCATGGATGTTAGCTCAGGGCTGATCTTCCTCACCAAAAAAAAAACTACTACAGTTGGGGGCCGGCCCTGTGGCGTAGCGGTTAATTGCACGCGCTCCGCTGCTGGCAGCCCGGGTTCGGATCCCAGGCGTGCACTGAGGCACCACTTGTCAGGCCATGCTGTGGCAGCGTCCCATATAAAGTGGATGAAGATGGGCAAAGATGTTAGCACAGGGCCAGTCTTCCTCAGCAAAAAGAGGAGGATTGGCATGGATGTTAGCTCAGGGCTAATCTTCCTTACCAAAAAAAAGCTATGGTGGATCCTGCTTGCAGACAGTCGAATCCAAAGCACACAGCAGAGGTGTCTACTCCCTGCTGCTCTGCAGGGCGGCATGCTCTGGGCGCTGTTTTGCTTGAGTTGATTTTTTGTTGAAGATCCTTCTATTTGTGTGTTGAGAGTCTGCTTCACAGAAATAAACACGCGAGACTGAGTGATGGCAACTCTGACTGTCGCTCTGGCAGAAGAGTGGCTTTTTGCAGTTTCTTGCTGTTGTGAGCAGTGCTGCTGGGCGTGTGCTTCCAGCTTGGTCTTTGTGGCCGTGTGCAAGCGTAGCCACAGGAGAAATTCCTAGGAAAGGAACTGCAGGGTGGTCTGAGGTAGTGTTTAAACTTTTAAAAGTTTCTTTGTTTAATGGGATATTACCCATTTGTGTGCATATTAAAAATTCAGGTGGTGTAGAAGGGTTAGTGGTCTGTTCTCCAGCCAGCTGTGCCCCCGCCCAACCCCCACTGCTCCAGGTTCCAGGTGCACAAATGGGAAGTGAAGCCATGTCTGTGAGTGGCACTGCATCCAGCTGAATCCAGCTGAACTTTTTTTAAAGATTTTATTTATTTATTTTTCCCCCAAAGCCCCAGTAGATAGTTGTATGTCATAGCTGCACATCCTTCCAGTTGCTGTATGTGGGACGCGGCCTCAGCATGGCCGGAGAAGCGGTGCGTCGGTGCGATCCCGGGATCTGAACCCGGGCCGCCAGCAGCGGAGCACGCACACTCAACCGCTAAGCCACGGGGCCGGCCCTGAATCCATCTGAACTTTCTGAGGGCATTTTCAACTAGATTCTAAGATATATTTGAGGAAAGCCATTGGTATTTACACCCAGTCTGTACTTGGTAACACTGAGCTCATCGGGTCTTTATGTGTTGACATCTGCAATGGCTGCACAGCTGGTGCATCACTGGCATGCTGAGACTCTCAGTCTTTGGACAAACTTGAGTAAGAATGGAGTGAGGGACCCAGAAATAGTAACAAAGTAGTAAACAGGATCCCAGCCAAACTTTAGCAATGCTCAATCTTGGTCATTGTTTTTAATGTTTTTTCTATATGGGGCTGAAGGTAACTGGATTATCTCTTTAATTCCTGACCCCGTCTTCTCCCCACGCCTAATGGTATTTGGTAAGGACTGAAGTATTTGTGAGGTAAACAAAAGAAGGACTCCGGTTTTGTGTAATTCTCCGGTGTACTTCACTTCCTAGGTCGTGAACAGGCTGAACTAACTGGTCTCCGACTTGCAAGCTTGGGGTTGAAGTTTAATAAAATCGTGCATTCTTCCATGACCCGCGCAATAGAAACCACTGACATCATCAGCAAACACCTGCCAGGTGAGTGCCTGTCTGGGTCCCTCAGCAGCAGGGAGGGAGGGAGGAGGGAGCAGGCGCGCTGAGTCTCCGTGCTTCTCTGCAGGCGTCCGCAAGGTCAGCACAGACCTGCTGAGGGAAGGTGCCCCCATTGAGCCCGACCCGCCCGTGTCTCACTGGAAGCCTGAGGCTGTGGTAAAAACGCCCCCACAATGGTAGTCTTCCTCCCCGGGGAGCAGCCTTCACTCTACCTTGTTGGCTCACTCTCCCCACCCCCTCCTCTCCTGCTCCCGCAGTGACGGGCCATCCTTTTCCTGACATCGGCATAGCCTGTGTGCCACCTCCATACTTATGATTCTTTGCTCTGCCCCCTAGCAGTATTATGAAGATGGAGCCCGGATCGAGGCCGCCTTCCGGAACTACATCCACCGGGCAGATGCCAAGCAGCAGGAGGACAGTTACGAGATCTTCATCTGCCATGCCAACGTCATCCGCTACATCGTGTGCCGGTGAGGGGTCTCGGGCGCCCTGGCCCAGCTGCTTCCTGCCAGCCTGGCCGGCGCTGCGTCTTTCCCGTCTCATGACCTCCATGCTTCCCCCAAGGCCTAGTCGGTTGTCTGGCAGAATCTTGCAGTTTGGAGTTTCTCATGATTGTGTTTTAGGAATAGCACAGATGCACTCTGCTCATCCCAGCGTGGGTCAGGTGCCCGAGGTCGATGGCTTTTCCCGGCGATGCTAACATAGTCACTTGGTTAAGGTGCTGTGTGCGCTGGACTTCCCGTTGGTGATCGATAAACGACTTGGGAGACAACACTTACATCCCATTTCCCTCAGACATACTGGTGCATTTTAGCACCTGTTGGTGGATCCTGCCACATCAGTTACTATGGTGGTGTTTGCCTAGTGGTGGTTTCGTGTTTCCCTTCATTCATTAATTGGAATTCTTTTCTAAGAACTGACTCTTCCCCTCCGTTTACTGATTTGCATGACTGTGGACTCTGGGACCTTGGTTTTGGGCTGTGGATTGTACTTCATTTCCCACACTGGTCACTCCGCTGCCCCAGTTACTGCAGCTGTGGCTGCTGGGAGCTCCTTCTGGGAGCTCCTGTGTCCTTTGGACCTGCTCTTACTTCCTGGCACCACAGAAAGTTCCAGGGCCCTTTTAAGTGACACCTGTTCTGAGCAGCAGCCACCTGTCACAGAGGGCCCTGTAGGTGGGAAGGCGAGCTGGGTGCTTATGTATTTGACCAAATACCACTTACTGCAAAACTTGAAATAACTGGAACCCTGCCCCCCGCCGGATCCATTAGAAGGTGTTTGTCAGGTGCTTCAGTAGCTGAGGGGGGTTCCTCTTCTTGTGTGACGATGAGTTTGGCAGTGGCAGGACAGGACACAGCACAGCCAGCAGGCCTGTGGTGCTGTCCAAAGCCAGGCCCGAGGTCTCTGCTCACTGTGTTTGACCCTCGGACCTGTCACCAGGGCTGTAGGGGGCCATTTCCCCTCAGAGGTCATATGCTTGGCCCCCTATGATGAGAAGCCCAAGGGTGCAGGGGAAGTGCCTGTGTCAGGGGAGCCAGGGTTCTCAGCTCGCTTATAGGGGCTCCAAGCCAGATCGAGTGCTGCTGGGGAATGGGGCGGGGTGGGCACCTGGCTCCACACCCTCCAACCACAGTCTCAGAGCGCCTGGCTCAGCAAGTACCTGCTTTCTGGGCACCATCATGTTTGCAGCTCTGGGCACCCGTGAATGAGCCACTTGGGTGATTTTGTGCTGTGTAAACACTATGTTGTCCCATATCCTGGGAAAAGGCAACCTGAGCAGTCACTAGGAGGTGACCCCACTGCTGAAAACACACCAGAAATAACGGGACTTGGAGTAGAGGCTACCTGTGTTACGTACAGGGCTACAAGGAGCCAAAGTGTCACATTCACAATACGTGAGGGCACTCTGTGCTGCTAATTCAGCAGAGAGCGCTCTGAAAATTGTGAAGGATGACACTGAGAAGGCTAAAAAGCAGTGTGAAGGTAGTTATTCCTTTAAGTTGACAAAACTCAGGGCAGGGAAAATGTAGGCTGATGGCTGCAAAGCAAGCCGCAGGGATGCCGCTGTCCACACCGATGCTCTGAGGCATAAGGGGTGTCCCATGACTCAGATGAAAGTGATAGCAGTTCTGGGCTTTTCAGCAAATACTAACTGTGCCTAAAAAGTGTTAAGAATGTTAAAATGCTGAAGGTTGTGGATGATACCATCCTCCGTCCCTCCCTGGGGAGAACGGAGCAGGAAGGGCTCTGTTGCACTATCGATCGCCCCCCCCCCACCCATTTTGTTACACTGGAAAAACAGAAATTAAATTGTGTGCACTTTTAAGAATTGGTGTATTTCTGACTCACATGCAAACCTTGAGTTGGGTTGAGCCCCTGCCCCAGAGAGGGGCTGGGCTGCCACCTTACTCCTTATTTGACGGGTTGGCATCGGCCCGGCAGCTCCTCCCTGAGAAATCCCTTGCTTGAACATGGGAGGGACTTACTGATGGTCCCAGCCTGGAGAAAGTCTGCTCTGAGACCTTATCTGGGGTTGGGTGGTGGTAGCTTTGCTGAGACCGTGGCCCATTTTAAGACAAAGCCCCCCCATTCTAGCATGTTCTTCTTCCCCAGGGCGCTGCAGTTCCCTCCAGAAGGCTGGCTCCGCCTTTCCCTCAACAACGGCAGCATTACCCACCTGGTGGTCCGGCCTGATGGCCGAGTGGCACTCAGGACCCTCGGAGACACGGGATTCATGCCTCCTGACAAGATCTCCCGCTCCTGAGGGCCGCTTTGAGGCCCTACTCTCCTCAGCCCCCTGCCCGGCTGCAGCGTGGGTGCCGCCAAGAACATGGGCTCCTTCCCTCTGTCTTCCCTCCACAGGCTACTATTCATTTCTCCAGGACGAGATGGCAGAAAAGTAGAAGTATCTAAAATGCAGCATTTCAGTACTTCTGGCCCAGGATGGAAAAGGGAAACATTCAGATCCGATTAGCCTGATTTCTTTCACATGGTTTTCTGCCTTACTCTCGTCTACCAGGACGAGCCTGTGGGGTTTAAGGAGGCCTGTTTTGGGGACGGGACAAGGCCTCACAGATGCCGTCACTGCAAGGACCATGGCAGATCCGCACCGAAGGGTCTCTGGTCATGGCCACACTAGCTGCATGACCCCTTCGACGCTCCATCAGCAAACCTGGACAGGCACGAGGACTCAGAGGAGGGCGCCAGTGCTTCCACTGCGCTTCATGCGTTCTCTTCATTTCTTAAAACGCTTTTCTCAAATATTTATCAATTCAAGATTCTCATCTGGGTTCTTGCTTTGAACACCCATTTCTCACTAAAGTTACACACCTCTGACACTGCTGGATCTGAGCTCAGCCATGTCGTTAGGCTTTTCAGGCACACAGGAGCACCTTGGCAGGTGAGGGAGGTGACTTGACCTGCTGGTCTCATGGGACGGGCTGGGCGGTGATGGCCCCGGAGAGGGTCCTGTTTCAATAAAACATCCGACAGTTTAATCTTTGTTTTCCTGTGGCTGTTAATCTTTTATGCTTATGGATTAAAAATATTTAGACGTGTACATTTTAAATGTTCTGTTAATTTAGTACATTTTAAATGTTAATTTAGGAAAAACAGTACAATTTCTATAAAGTGGTTATGAACATTTTCTGCAATCATTGCAACTAATGGGGATATTTGATCCATTTCTCTGTCAACTTTGGAAATAACTACAAAATAAATTTTATTTTACTGTTTTTTTCAAAGTACGAATTGTGAATGTTTTAAAGAAAATAGGAAGCCTGTGCAGCGCGACAAATGGCAGCCCCAAACTTACTGAAACAGTTTCAGTGGAAAGCTCTTTTCCGCAGTATTTCATGTCCCCAGGGCTGATGGCTTTGCCAGGTGTCTGCCCACCAGGGGCCTTTGTTTGTTATGCTCTGACCCAGGACAGTGAGCTTGATAAATGGTTCTCTAGAACCAGCAACCAATGCACCGTTTTTCTTTTGGTGAAGAAGACTGGTCCTGAGCTAACATCTGTGCCAGTCTTCCTCTATTTTGTATGTGGGTTGCCACCACAGCATGGCTTATTGAACAGTGGAGGTCCATGCCTGGGATCCAAACCCAGGAACCCAGGCTGCCAAAGCAGAGCACACCGAACTTGAACCATTATGCCACCGGGCCAGCCCCAGTGCACCATTTTCTAGGAATAGTTTTGACAAATAAGCCAGGGGCTGTGCCAACTTCTAAAACCACAAAGTAACAGGTGGCACTCACAACTGACCTCAGGTGTGAACGAGGCCAGGAAGGTGAAGGGCCCCACAGGGCCTCACACCCCACATGAAGTCTGAGCCCTGGACCCTCTGGCCTAGGATGCCTCAAGGTAGGTGGTGGGTCCCCTTCCCGATTCCCTCGAGGGGTCTGCAGACCTGCCTTTTCAGCAGCACTTCTGCCCTTTACACTTGACCTTTGAGAAACAGGGCAGCATTTCAAAAACCAGAAATGAGCCCACATGCAGGTTCAGGGAGGAGGGGAACAGACAGACACATGACAGATGACACACGAGACACGGCCAAGGAGCAGAAGGGAGGGTGTTGGGATGGGTCAGTTACAGGGGCCGAGTGACATTGTTATGGAAATTGTTCCCTGAGGTGGGACAGATGACTGAAGACTTCTGAAACGTCCATAATGATACTGTTTGGCCAAAACGAAAATTGCACACCAGGAACCTGTGTAACATGAGGGAGCCTGAACTGACACCTGGGAGTTTGTTCCTACTGACTGTGTCATGTTGCTGTTTATTCCAAAAAATTTTCTTCTGAGACAGCTGCAAAATGAACTTAGCTAGAGAATACTATGGGTTTTATGCACAAATGCAGAATGTCGGTGCAGGACACAAGAAGAGCAGGTGCTGAGAACAGCCCAGTGGGCAGACCTGGCTCAGGAGGACAGGCTGGCGACACATCTGACGACGTCTGAGATGACGCCCTGATGCAGCAGCTACCCCTCAACCTGCCATGTTCTCTGGAAGCTGTGCAAGTTTCTGGAAACATCCAAAAATTCCCAAAGGATTTGTCTGCGGTCCTTGCCGCGTGCAGCAGACACTCCTAAAATTTTAGAACACTGTGGCTCCTGCTTTCCCCCCAGAAGTTAACAGGGAACTTTCTAGTGCCCTCTTGCACTGCAGCCCCTGGCCCAGCACCCACCCACCTCATGGTGGCAGAGTGGCTCACAGCACCTCTTCTGAAAGAAGGAATTACAGCCAATTAGTAACACCACAAGAAAGGCTTCCCGTTTCCAAGGGCAGCTATGAAATCTGTGCTAGTTTAACTTAACGCCAGAAAGTTTTTCACAACCGTGTTAGGAACGAAAGGAGCCAAAAACAGCCAATAAACTACTCTCAGATTAATAGACTGTTTCATTAAAAAAAAAATGCTTAAGATTTTACTAACGAGCATTTTGCCCAGGCACAGGTGAGAGAGGTCTTTCTGAAAGCTTAGAATTATTAGCACATGGTTTTAAAAATAATTTATTTCATTAAGTAGTTTAAAAAAGACCATAAAAATCACCATAGGGCACAGGATAATGCATTCATGGGGATCAGGGCCACCTTCTATAAATGAACAGAGAAGTAGTCAAAAGAGGCCTAGAACTTCAGAAAACAGTAACAGCAGTCTGCAAAATTAGGGCAAAAACACTATTTTAATTTCCATCTGAATATTTACAACAATATACAGGACAGTATGGTAAGATTTTAGAGAAAACAGATCATTACTGTGAATATAAAACTGTATTCTGAGTTTTGAGAACAAAGATGCCTTTTAAAAAGGCCGTTTGGTTTTTAGAAGAGAATGTATTTTTCTATCTCATATCTAGATTGTATGTTACACAAGTGGAAACACCCTGTGTAACAACTTTTTGAATTTTAAAATCTAAATCTTGATTCCATACTCCTGACCTGTCTCCTGTAATCACATAAAAGAAATAAGCTTTTTTAAATACAAGTTTTAGTTTAGAAATTTTATGAACAAAACTTAACGAACAAAAAAGGATCTCACTTACACCTATTTAGTATCACTGTCTATTCTCAAAAAGCAAGTTTACAAAAATCAAAAATGATTTATAAAAGGCACTGAAGTTAGCAAAAGCACTGGTGAGTTTCTCATTTGGATAAAACACTGGAAATGTTCCGAGAATTCTGCTTGTGTCGTTTGTAACACCCAGAAAGAAATCAGCCCTCACTCTGTTGTTTGGTCTCTGGTCTCTGGCATCCTCGAGGCGCATGGCACTGTGTGGGTCCCAGGCTCCGTGCAAAGACCCTCCAGAAGGTTAAAGCCAAGGGGGAGGCTAAACTAAACCACGCTCAAGTCACTGAATTGGGACTCAAAGCTGTCAAAAGACAACCTCTGGTTTCTGTAGTAAAACACGACGCTCTTTTATAATCCAATTGAAATGAATTCTAAAATATGGGATGAATTTCAAAACTAGAGAACAACTCACAGATCATTTTATTACCACTATATTGGCAACTAAATCAAGATCACTGTGAAAGCTCAAGTGCTGGCAGAAAAGAAAAACACCTTCTGGTGACTGCTAGTGAGTTCTGTGTGACTATCTGCACGACTCTAAGGGCTAGATTTTTTCCAAGAGAAAAGATAATTTTATATTCTGGTCACTAATTAAAATGTTTTTAATGACCCAAATCATAAATATCGTTGCAAGTCTAAGACACAGTCAAGGTTCATTTATTTCTGGACATCCATCCACCTTATCAATTCGTCTAACCAACTGGGATCAACTGGCAAAGCAAAGAGGATTTTCTATCACGAACTAGAAAGTCAAAGACCCTCCCCAGAAAGGAACATGGCACAAAACTCATCTTTAAGAACTGAATTGAAGTGAGGTGCTGCTGCTGCCAACACAGCCAACCCCTCCTCGGGCACTCACTCGGACTTTCTGGCACAAACTGCCTTAGTACCCTCCTCTGTTATATGTCAACCAGGAATGGCTAACTGAAGCCTGTATCATTACCACACTGACAGTTTTCAGAAAATTTTTATCTGAGTTTGCTTTCAACTTCTCCCAAAATATCAAAATCTAAATTTTATACAGAATACTTGCATTTTCTAAAACTCTTTTACTCTCAAAACGAAGATTAATAAATTAATCAGAACATATTCTTCCCTGTGAAATTTTCGCAATTAACATATTACCCTTCTTTCTTTAAAAATGAAGACTGAAATACAAGCCCCAGCACTGTGCACTGGCCCTACAAGGTGGCAAGCTGGGCCAGGCGAGCCATCCTGCGAAGGCGGCCCCCATCTGCGGGGCTGTAGCGCCCAGGGCTGCCCAGGCCAGGGGAGTGCGGGCCGGGGCCGGGCTTCCCGGGGCTGCAGCTGTGAGGGCAACCGAGCTCTGGTGGCTGAGACTTCGACTTCCCCTTCAGTGCCGGGCTTGGCCAACTGAGGAAACAAGAAAGGTCCATCAGCAGACGGTGAGGGGTGTGCAGGAAGAGCAGAGGCCGCTGACAGGACCTTGGCCCCGCACCCAAGCCCCAGGGGACCACTGGGGCTCTGAGAAGAGGAGCTTCGAACCTCAGAACCATGGGCCCTGAAGATTAAAAGCTCCTACAATTTTCCACAGGAATCCCATGACCCTGACCAGAATCCCGACTGCTTCCACCCTGCACCCTCACCCTGTGCCACCAGCCATGGCCACATGTCAGGGGAGCTACACGTTAGCTTGACTGACAGGGCTGCCAGTGTTCTAGGTGAACCACTATGTTCATATGAGTCGGAATCAGAGAGTTCCAGAAGCTAGCTACCAACAATCCCTATCTCACAGACAGACCTTCCTCTCCAGGGTCCACTAGTACCTCTGTCTGTCGGAGGGCGGGAAGCACAGGACAGCACTCTTCCATTTGTGCACAGCTGGGTACTGGAGAGGGTCCACGTCTGCACACTCCAGAGCTGCCAAAACATCCTGATCCAGTTTTGATGGCTCCTCTCTAGAAGGCACAAAAAAAGCAGTGATAGAAAAAGCGGACACGTGTGATTAAAAACACAGACTTCCCACACCAATGCATTCTTATTCTTAACTCAAGAACCCAGTACAGGAACAGAACAGCGTGCAGAAACACGTCTGGTCCTCAGGCACCAGCTGTCGGGGCTGTGATCCAGGCTACAGAAGAGCCAAGGCTAAGGTGGCAGAGAGGACACACTGTCCCACAGAAATAGTGGAGGAGGCGACGGAGAAGAGTCGCCAGGACCCGGGACCTATGCCTGCACATTTCACATCCAAAGACAACCAACCAGAAGGCTGGGGATGGTCCATCACCTGGGAGACTGACCCCAAGACAGTCTTTCTTCCTAAAACAAACTAAATACTTAGGATGGTTCCAGTCATTCTGGGGGCAATGACTTCCCTGAGAAGTACAGTAGACGGAAAGATGAGCTAGAAAGGAGGATGCTGTCTCCTACCAATTGGGAAGACCACTGAGGACATCAAGAAGCTACAAACTCATGACAGAGGTGACCCTGCAAGTGCACATCCAATCAGGTTGTGGGCAGAGAAAAGGTTTGAGAATTACAACCGTGTTACACGTGCTCACACCTCACTGCTCCACGTCATGTGTGCACACATCCAACTCCTACACAATCACATCTGCGCACACACGCCCAACTCATACCCAAAAAGGAAGAGCCTCTGGCCGGGCTCCTTCATGGCGGGGACCCTTGAGGGCGCCAAGAACACAGAAGTGCAGCTATGCTGGGCCTCGTGCCGGGGACTGTTGGGACCCAGGCACATCTTAGCAATTCCGGCTGACATTTCACTTTCTGTCCTTAGTTGGCTATTTCCAAGTTTGTCAGGAGGAGGTTCTAACGAGTCACTTTCTACTCCGTCCACTCCTGATGTCAGGGTCTTCTTATCTCTGGTTTTCAGATTTTTATTTGTTGTCTTAGAAAAGCTACTTCCTAGATTCTGCAAATTCAGTTTATCAAACTCAACAGTCAAGCTGGAGACAGGTGCCACGAGGGCTTCCTCCTGGCTCGGGGCCTTGGGCCTCTTCCCACTCAGGGTCTTGCTGCCACTCAGGGGACTACAAAACCCATTTCTGCTGCTGTGGGAACTGGTCGAGGATGAGGCTTCTATAAGATTTGTCTTCTGCTCCAAGGGAAGGATTTCACACCGTGAGTCTCCAAAAACATCGACTGTAGGCTGGGTGTTGTTTCGAGCTGTGTTTTGCCGATTTTTAATCTCTTCCAAGCTCATGTCATCATCTTCATCTAGAAACGCCCTCACAGAAATGGAATTGCTGCACTTCCTACGATGGGCTGTGAGGGAGAAAGCAGCTGAGGATGACAGGAACCCATGAGAGGGCCACTCAGCACCACCCCAAATCCCTGCAGCCAGCAACAAACCCCTCTCTCATTCAGAGCCTCCTCCTCAGATTCTAGAACAGAGAACCACCTGCATTGCTCCTTGGAAAAAGGCAAGCAGGACCTTACAAACAGAAATACAGCCTCCAGGCCCAGCTCTCCTCCCTCAAAGGCAGGAAAATGAGAAGACAGCCAAGGTCAAGGGTAGGCACATGTGGGGGACGGGAGGGATAGCACCCGGTACCTCCCATCTGATCTGCTAGGATGCCGGGGGCGCTCAGAACATGAGGAGCAGAGAGCAGCAGCAGGTGGTCACTCGTTCACACAACTCACTTCTTGGTCCGAGTACTGAGAGCCCATGGACGTGCTGTGTGCCCTTACCAAAGGCAGAGGCGTTCTCCTGACAGCAGGCTTCGTTTTCTCCCGTGTCTTGTTGGGCCTTTTTGCCCACTTCCTGCTGAGTGAGATATTCTTCTAGTTTTTGCAGGCCCTCCTGGGAAGACAGATCAACAAAGCAGCCCAGAAAGTCCCAGTACTCGACCCAGGGATACCCCAGCTCATGAGCCAGCTCCCTGCAAGAATAAAGTGCATCGGTCATTTGTGAAACCAGAACAAAAACTCACAGAACTGACTGCACAGAAAGCAGCACTTGATGCTAGAAGTGCTGAACCACCTCCTACAGTCTTGGTCACATTTTATCAGTTATCCTCAACTGAGGCTAAACTAGCTCTCTGCGTTTTCTGAGGCAGCACTCCCCTGACAGTCTCACCCACGCAGCTCTGTTACCTTACGGAGCGAGCCAAGGAGATGGCGACCAAACCTCCATTCACACCAACAAACTTTAGAGGCAGAAGGTTAAGCAGACTCCACAGACAGGCGGACCTTCGTGTTTTCATACAACTATATAAATTTGGACACGATTCTGGTTTTGGCCAGGCACATAAAAATATATAAGCCCTTCTCAGGTTCAAGTTGTAAACCTGAAACTAGGCACATATTTTGAGAAAAAGTTCTAAAACAATTCAAAGAAGCTTTATTTGATTACAGTATAATTCAGCTTCTTGACTGTGGAAAAAATGCTTTTCAGGGACTTTTTAAAGTTTTTTTTCGGGCCGGCTCTGTGGCTTAGCGGTTAAGTGCGTGCGCTCTGATGCTGGCGGCCTGGGTTCGGATCCTGGGAGCGCCCGGAGGCACCACTTCTCTGTCCAGCGCGAAGCCGAGTCCCGCGTACAGCGGCTAGAAGGATGTGAACCTGTGGCATGCAACTATCTACTGGGGCTTTGGGGCGAAAAAGCTGAATAAATAAAATCTTTAAAAACAAAAATAAATAAATAAAGTTTCTTTTCTTTTTTTTTTTTTTTTTGAGAAAGATTGGCCCCCCGCTAACATCTGTTCCCAATCTCTTTTTTTTTCCTTTTTTCTCCCCAAAGCCCCAGTACACAGCTGTGTATCATAGTTGTAGAGCTGTAGCTCTTCTATATAGGACGCTGCCTCAGCATGGCCTGATGAGTGGTGCGTAGGTCTGCGACCAGGATCCAAACCAGCGGACCCCGGGCCACCGAAGCGGAACGTGTGAACTTAACCAGTACACCACCTGGCCAGCCCCTGGGGACTTTTTTTTTACTAGTCGTTTACAGCCACACCTGCCTCTTGTGTTTTATTTTTCCTTCACTGCCAAGGAAACACCTGCCGTAGGCACCTCGTATGACTCACTGACTCCCGGAGACAAGCTGCGTCTGGGGGAGCTGTTTCCACGGACACTTTTGCTACACAAACTGCAGTGTGTGCAATATTTGCAAGGAGTTAGACCTTAATGAGAAGAGTTTAAAATTTCCTGGTAAACGCCTCCTGTGAACTGTTACTGGGAAGGCAGCTGTAATGAGAGTTTCCTCCTTGATCAACATGTAAGCAACAGCACAGGAAAGACTCCACACCAGCTCTTTGTCACTTCGTGTTATGCCCTTGAAGTACCTTCCCACTCTCTCAATGCCTCTCTCTGGGTCCGATTTTCTGACATTGTGAAAGAAGCCTGCTTTCTCTCGAGGCGGGGTTTTCCAGAGTCTGCGAAAATCTTCTGCCTGTGAAGAGAAAATGTGTTGAGCTATGCTATGCACCAAGTTGCCGGGCAACATAAGATGGCCAGCATCGCAGAGCCATCCGGACGTCTCCCAGTGTCCCTTCTCCTCCTCCTGGGCAACATGCCCACCTGTCTTGTAGCTAAAAGACCACAGGGCTGTGTTCTGATGGAGGTGAAGAGGGACTTCTGGCAAGGCTCCATAAGGGTGGGGCCCCTCTCTCTTCCTATGGCTCGGGCTGGGCTCTGAGGGTCAGAGCTGTACCAGGTGGCCCCGAGGATGAAGCCTGGCCTTGAGGTAGACACCGCAGAGCTGCCACCCCGAGGCCTCAAGTCGTGTTCCCATCATACGAGAAGAAAACAAATCTTTATGCTTTTAAGTCATGCTTACTAGAGTTTTATGTTTTATGCAACTGAATCTAATCCTAACCATTATCAGTGGTTTTTGGAGACATTTTTATAGCTGCAGGTAACTAATTATTTAGAACATTTTTAAACAAGAAGATTACATACAGATCAGTGTATGAAATCCCTCAGTCCAGAAGGTGAACTTCAGAGTTTGCAAATGGAAGTTTCCTAGTGACAATACAAGTCCGACAATACTGGAATGGACAGCCTAGCTAGACTGGCAGTGTGTTGTGAGAAGGGCCACCAGCACAGACAGGAGAACTAGGGGACGATGCATGGGGGGTCAGCCCAGGGGACTTCACTTTGAAGTATAGGCTCACCACCACGTCCACCCTGACTAACAAGCGAGGAATGGGGTCAAGACACTCTTGTTTCTCCAGCAAATGTGCTGAAGCCTCATTGCCAACTCACTGGGGTTCCATGGGACCCGGTCTCTAAAACCAAGCACAAAGCAAAGAGGCTGGAACACCCACCACTTCTGGCAGGGACCGGTAGGAGCCGGTTTCAGAAGCTTCCACAGCAGCTCACCTTGGACGGACTCAGGGGCCCTGCGAAGGCTCGCAGGGTCAAAATGGGGTCTCTGGGGCTGCCTCCACCATGGCCGACGTAAGGTGCCTCGGCCGTCTGGTCTGAAGACCACAGCTCCCCGATCACTGGAGAAGACGTGTCCTCTGCTCTCAGGAGTGGTACGTAGTACTGACCTAGAGGAGACACCAGGGCTACATGCATCTGCTCAGGCGGCTCCTCACCTCAGTGGATGTGTCCAGCATTGGGTACACAGCCTGAGAAACAACGCGTTCATGACACCCCGGGCTTTGCAGGTGACTCCACGACAGTAACAGCAGGAGGGCTGCAAAAGCTCTGGGGCTGAAGGACCTGCGCAAGAGGCCAGTTGTGCCAGACTCACTTAAGGAGCCCTGCGCTCTTCCCCTGCTGGGAAGAAAATAAGAAACAACGAAGGGGGAGCAGCGAACACCTCCTCACCCCCAGATACTCAAAAGGACTGAGAGGACGGACCTGTGTGAACAAGATTAGCACAGGTGGGAGCTTGAGAGATGTTAAAAACAAGTTACATTTTAACCTTTCTCCCTTCCCAATTCCCTACTCTTTTTTGTATGTCACAATTTTATATCATTGAATACACAACTCTATTCAGAGCAGGAACAACACTTTGATGTGAAATCTGGGAAGAACAAAGGTAGAGTGCAGTGAGGTCACTGGGAGGGTGCGGCGGGAAAGCGCCCAGAGACAACGTGCAAACGCATGGCTGTGGCTGTCATGTGCCAATAAAACTTTACTTACAAAAGCAGACAGGCCAGATAGGCACCTGCAAACCTCTGCTTTAAATGGAGACCAACAGGATTCAGACAGGAATGGAAACCAAGAGAGAAGGAAAGACAGGCAAACAGGAGAGGTCAAAAAGCGCCAAGTATCTGTGGCAAGGTCATTGGCGAGCAGGACCACCAGACTTCTGGCTAAAGACGGCAAGAAAAGGCACTTCTGCTGCCATCTTCTCCAACTCACTGGAAACAACAGAGGAAGACAGCGGGGACAACCCCTTTCTGAAACGAGCCATCTCCACACTCCTGAAGCCTGCAAGCTAGGAGGCACAGATGCCAGGTCCTGGAAGCTCCTGACCAGAGGAACAAGGCCCCAGAAAGCTGAGGTGAACCTCTAGACCTGAAAAAGAAGGCCTGTCCCGACAGGTCACGGTCTTGAAAAGCTGAGCTTGTAATTCAACTCTAGGTCTAGAGTGATGAGATACAGGGCCAGTGAGGCTGCAAGAGGGTTGGGGACTGCCCCGGGAGCTGAGGGAGGAGCATCCCAGCTTTCCCAAGGAGAGGGCAGGGCTAGGTAGGGAGGCAGGCTAATGTACAGGGCTTCAGATCAAAGAGCTGACAGGCATGGGCCGGCCCAGTGGCGCAAGCGGTTAGGTGAGTGCGCTCCGCTGCGGCGGCCTAGGGTTCGCCGGTTCGGATCCTGGGCATGCACCGATGCACCGCTTGTCGAGCCATGCTGTGGCAGCGTCCCATATAAAGTAGAGGAAGATGGGCATGGATGTTAGCCCAGGGCCAGTCTTCCTCAGCAAAAAGAGAAGGATTGGCAGATATTAGCTGAGGGCCGATCTTCCTCACACACAAAAAATAAAAATAAAAAAAATAAAACAAACCAAGAGCTGACAGGCAGCTACTGACAAACCAACTGACTGACCAACCAAGGGGCTCTGGGATGGCCCCTCTCGCTCTCTTCTCTGCGGACTTGCAGGCTGTACTGAGGAGATGGGATTACAGACATTGCTGCATGAGGGGCCTGCAGAGATTAAGGGGTAAGATCAGAGCAACAGTCAAATAACAGACAACCTGGTCTCTCAGAAAAGCTCAAGGCTTCAAAGGACAGATTACATGAAAACAGGTAGAATGCGAGAGCTGGGGAGTTCAGGAAAGAAAACGTAAGCCTGAGAAGGGCTTCCGAGAGGAGTTCACAGGCAACCCTTGGCTCCCCTCCCCAGAACTCAAGGCCAGGCTTGCACGCTGTCCAGGACCTTCCCAGCGATGGGCCTCACGCTCCAGGTGCTGATCCCCACCTTACCCTTTAAATATTCTCTAATCCGGTCCTTCAGTTCCGCAGAGTTATTTTTGCTTCTTTCACAAATAACCTATTTATAAAAACAGAGTAAGTGAACACTCTAAATCTTAATTTATCACATTTTCTTATCATTAAAATGATTTTATAAAAGCTAGTTTTAAAGTCAACAAAACAAGGATAGTATCCTAATGCTGAATATTTCCTTAAAGCCCACAATCAAAACACAAGTGTTGAACAGTACAATGTTTCTTCTAGAATGTTTTGTAAAAGCTTATGGGACCAGGACAAGAAAAACACACCTCAGATTATGGGTGAATTTTGTTTTCTTTCTTCGAGCTACTCTACATTTTCTGATTTTCTGCAAGGAAAGGAAACCTTAAGGTGCACTATCAAGTCAGAGCAGAGACATGCAGAAACGCTTACAATTTTCAGTTCTATGAGTTCCACTGTCTGAGGTCCTGTTTGTTGTTGTTTGGCTGGGTTGACACAGAACTCCTATCTAGCATGGAACACAAATGTTTTATTTTTGCAACTACAGGAATCAACTTTCTCTGCCCTTGGATAACTGCAGTGACCAGAACACGTTTTTGCTAGAAACAACAAAAAATCCAGTAACTTTCAAATAAGAAGTAAGGAACCACAAAATTACCATCTCCTGCCAGCCTGTGAGAGAAACAAACTACAGCTGTATAGTGTACCCTGCAATTAATAAAACTAAGTACTTTTTTTTAGTCTAACTGATTGTGAGATGTCAAATGCTTTAAAAATGTCAGTTACCAAATAGCATCTTATATTGAAAAAATATACATAGGCACACAAAAAGTCAGATATATGTAAAATAATGGTAATTTCTGAGCTGTAGCATTATCTGGTGAATTTTATCCTTTTTGTCTACGTCTATTCCAAACTTTCTACAGAAAGTGGTCACTACTTATGTAACCATAGCAACTACAAAGAGGCTTCACTACCAGAGTAGGATCCTTACACATTCTGCTTCCACACGCTGGCAGGTCCAGGTCAGCTAACAGCTCCAAGGTACAGTATAAATCAACCTGTCCTTCAGTTCTTACCAGGTCCATTTCCCTCTCCATCTCATAGGCACAGATGCACCTGTGCCCTTTCTAAGGTGCATTTTGTTCAACTGTCAATATAGATCACGACAAGGCCTGCTTCATAAGGCTTGTATGGGTTGGCTGAGAATGCAGGAGGGGCTTAGGACAGTGCCTTGTACAGAATGAGCTGAACACATGCCAGCTTCTTTCAGCATCATCAACCTCATCACCACCACCATAATCCTCACCATCACCACCATTACCACCATCATCATCCCATCACAACCATCATCATCACCACCACCATTATCACCATCAACACTACCATCATCATTCCCATCATCATCCCCATAATCATCACCATCACCACTGTCATCATCATCACCACCACCACCATAACCCTCACTATCACCACCATTACTATCATCATCATCATCCCCATCACAACCATCATCATCACCATCATCACCACCAGCATCATCATTACCACTACCTCTGTTGTTCTCCCTGACCCTGGTCAACTGAGGTGTGCACAGAGGGAACTTGATAAAAGACTGTGAACTGTTGAGAAGTTACTGCCAGTTTCAGGAAAATAAAACCAGCAAACTGGGGCAGTTCACGCCCTCCTTGCTCTATAGGTGCATCTTCTTCACGGAGTGCCTTTTACTCAGCAATCAGGATTCTAAGGTGCCCCTGAGGCAAACACACTCACACAGAGTTATGTGTGACTTCACAGTAGCTGTGATATAGACTGTATTTTATGTATTTTCATTGTTAACACTATACAGTAATGGCATTTTAATAGGTACATACATACTTACTTATAGGTACTTACATCTTCAGGTGTTTTATTATATTTATTCCTTGGGTTTTTTACAATCAAAGGGTGTGAAGAAAGTACGCTGACCACATCTGCATTCCCAAACTTGCAAGCAAAATGCAACGGTGTGTCATAGACCTAAGAGCGGTGCAGAGGAAGAACACCTTTCTTATTTACACTTTATTTCATAAGGTTGCTTTAAAATAGGTATTTAGTAAAACAAACAAAACCCTCCAAAACAAAACACCATAAAAAGACATTGTTTTTATAACTGAAAAATAATTGGCATACTAGCACATATCCCCTTTATGCCAGGGCTTGAGCCCAGCAGAGTGCCCCAGTTGCTGTGTGTCTAACGCCTGGGTGTTCAGGTCTGGTGGGGAGCTTACAACTGAGCTGGGGCGTATTTAACAATTCAGGGCCTGGTATAATGTCATATAATCAACGCTCAAAAAGTGAAACAGATGAAGGCAACATCCAGAATAAAGCAAAGTCTATGAATTTGGTCTGTACTAAAAGAAAACCCTCTCTAGTGGCTAATACTGCAGTAAATAAAACTTTCCACTCCTGACTCCAAGCTGCTTTTCAATGCTCCAACTAACTTCCCCTTGGTGGTACCATTCCCCGATATCCCGACAGCTGCACCTTCAACGGCTGCCTACAGACCAGAGGGCCTTAGGGTAACAGCGCTCCCTGAGCCTAAGAGCTGTGGAGCCAACCATTTCTGGGCATCTTCACTTGGATGGCCACAGGCTCAACTGCAGCACACCCAAAACGGAACCCATTCACCACCACCAGAGCCAGAAACACGGCCCTGCAGTCCACCTGTGATTACCGAGGAGGGCAGATTCCAGCTCTAAGGCCCCTGGCAGGTCACTCATCCCTCTGTGTGCCAAGGCTGCCATCCCCTTAGCTTCTTGTCCAGATTACCAAGACGCCTGAGGGGCCTTGCTGCCTTGGCTCACACTCCCAGCTCCAGTCCACCCTCCACTAGGCGACCCCATATTTGCAAGCAAATATCCTCAAGTCAGCTCCTACGCCCTGCTCCACATCCTCTAGGACAATCTCACCACCTCGTACAATTTCCCACGTGAACCAGAAAAGGTCTCGGCATTTGCCCACACGACAGCTCTCTGATGCACCTCTCCTTTTGCCTGGGGTCACCAAACTTTCTCAGTCAAGGGCCAGATAGTAAACATTTTAGGCTCTGAGGCCATCCAGTCTCTGCCACAACTACCCTACTTTGCCTTTCTCTGCAGCAGCAGACAATATATAAAGTATGAGCACAGCTGTGTTCCAATAAAGCTTTATTTACAAAAATGGGCTGTACTTTGCTGGCCCTGCTCCAGTGCATTCTCTGAACTAAGCCTTTCTTGATTCACGTTCTGCCTGAGACAACTCCAGCTCTGTGTAACAGCCAGACCTCCCCTGTCTGGCCTGCGGAGGACAGAGGTCGCTGCACATCAGGGCCAACTGTTTTCACTTGGCATTTGGAGTATCAGACTTCAAAGAGCCCTCAGCACTCCTGCTTCCTTCTGGCCGCTCATCTTCCTCGTGCCACATAACACTCTTCTCTAATCTGCTCCAAGCTCCACAAACTTGACCCCAACCTCTCCCCTCACCCCTGCCAGGAACTTCTGCTCCTATGCAGACAGCAGGCTCTGGGTCTGAGACTAGACCCACTTCTCATTCACACCACATTCTCTGGTGAGCCCCTGGGCTTTCTAAGTAGTCCAAGGATTTGTGGTCAATGCTTTAACTGATTCCTCCTCTTAGGGGGCTATGAATAGAGCATGTGACCTGTAACACCTAATTTCAGGAATTTACTGAGTGTTCTTGGTACATTTTCTGTGAGTACTGCACAGACATTAAGAAAAGAGCGTGTATTTTCCGTAGGGCACACAGCTCTACGTCACATCGTCACTTCCTGACAATGTGCTCTAGTCAAATCAGACATCCTCACTGATTGAGTTTGTTCACACTTAGTCTGATATTCTTTGATTTTGTTCATTCTGTCCTATTTTACACTTACTATTGCTTATGTAACCATTGTTTTTTTTTTTACTCCCTTCTATAATTTTGCTAGTTTGGTCAAATTTATCTCTATTCCCCTTTTTCTCCTGTTAATTTAAAAGTCATTCTTTCCAAGTCTGCAGTTTAATGCATCATATTCAATATGTATTATGAAATAATAAATTATGCTCCACTCCAATATGCTTCTTTTACTCCCTCTCCTGCCAACCACAACCTTCTAGACTCCTAGGTTTTGCTGACTTTGTAATTCTTGGCTCTACGCCATCATTGGGTTTTACATGATAAAACATGTGCAACTTCTGCTTCAGGAATCCTTACTAAAGCCTTATGTGCCATTAAAAACCATCTCTTTGAAATTTTTAACCCCACAGGAAATATTCCTAGTGTCATGTTAAGTGTGTGGGTGGGGGAACCATATACATAGAACACAAAAATAAAAGGTACCAAAACTTTTTTACTTTCTTCTCTCTTTAGCTTTTTGGCATTCCCCAATCCTCCAAAGCCCAGGTTGGGCCTCTCTGGACAAAAGCCAGGAGGGAAGTGTCCTTGGAGCAACGCTGTCCACAGCCAAGATCCACGTGTACCCTGCCCGGTGGGGTGGACCTCTCATGTGTGAGCAGGGCTTATCTTCCATATCTTTCTAAACTCTCTGAGCTCAACGAATGCGAGTCTCCTCTCTGATCCTCCACATGCATGCTGACGCAGTGCAGGGACACAGTAAATATTCACATAGTAGGAACACTAATCTTGTTTTAAGACTGACTGTAACTTCTACCAGAAAAGAGAGGAGGAGGCACACTTACCATTTTGTCAGGAGTGTTCAGGTACAGGTCAACGATGTAACAAATGCGTTTCTCCAGCATGCTCGGGTTGTCATCCGGGTACATAAGCCGCATGAATTCAGGGTTTTCCAAGGTCTCTAGAGTCAGCTGGCAGATGGAAGCCTGATTCTCTTTGGCAGCAACGTGCATGACATTGTACCTACATCCTTCCTGAAAGAACACCGCAGATTTTGAGTTTCCTCTTTGTCAACCACAGTCTTCTGATGCTAACGATGCTGCAAGCAGGATTACCTGTACGATGGTTGGGTTGTCCCCTGAACCAATTAGATATCGGGGATTACTCCAGATAAGATCAGAAAAGGTGTCTTCTTCTCCCCTCTCCACAGCTTTTCGAAGTTTGGCAGTGAGATCTTGTGTACGGGGATTTTTATAACTGTTTGCTCGCTCTTTGTTTACTGTTTCTGACTCAGATAAGTACAAACCATCTGTCATTAAGAGACAATTTAAGAACATTTAATTTCACAAACATTTTTCTCATCACCCACTATGTGCTACACTCAGGGCGATAAAAATCCCACAGAGGCTTACAATCTAGTCGGCAGTTAACAGATAAGAAACAATTACAATAAGTAGCAGAAGGACGTATGTCCCAGCTTACAACCGTGGCGCACACACACTGCTATAGCATGTGAGTGAAAGACCAACGAGACCCGACTGGACTCCAGCTAGGAAAGGCTTTGTGAAAGCGGGATCAGTCTCAGTGGGTGGAGGAGGGATGAGGGCACGTGGCCACAGGAGCACCACGAGCACTGACACAAGATCTGCAAAGCGCACAGAGCATTCCCATAAAGGCAGAGTGAGCCAAAAGTGATTTCTGTTCGTTTAATTACAACATCTGAGAATGCACGAAAGCAATCTTCTCAAGAACTTTCACAAACTGGGAAAAGGGTAACTGTTTACATCATTCCAGTTTCTAGCTAAGCAGCACCTGTGTGAGGCCAAGTAAGGGAACAGAGGGAAGGAGGCGGATGGGACTCTCGACTGGAGGCCAGGCGTCTGCAAGGAGAGGGCACCTTCCTCTGGAACCCCTGAGAGCCTGGGAAGCAGGATAACTGTGAGCTCTGAGGGAGGACGAGACTGAGGCTTGGCCAAAGTTAAAGACCATCAGGGTTCTGCACAATGCTGACTGCAAAGGCCCCCTCATAAGGTCCTGGTTCTGAGCAGGGAGTGGGTGTGGTTGCATTTGCGGCTGGATCGCTCCTGCAGGCGAGCCCAACTTTTGCAGGATCTTCTGGGTCAAAGCAGGTGCCACAGTCCTAGAAGTAGGTGTAGCTTCAGGTGAGAAACAGACTGCTTTGGGCATCCAAAAAAGCCCCTGAATCCAACAGGCAGCAGGGAGAAAGCAAGACAAAGAGAATAGAAGGGGCAACAGTGGTCCTTTCAATGCTTCTCCCATGACCTCATCGGCTTCGGGGCCTGGCGTAGCTGCCTGGCCCACTTAACCCCCATCACCTCTACCTTCACGGTCCCTGGTCCTTCCCAGAACAGCCAACTGACCCATTCTTCTTCGGCTGCTCTGCAGCCTGGGCCTCAGCTCTCTACTCCCCAGCAAACTGGACTTCTCTCAAAGGTGGAGGAAACCAGTTACCATAATTCAGGAAAGAGGGCACAAAATACCTGGGGGTAAATTTGATAGTAATGCCAAGATGTGAACTGTTATATGGTCTACGTTTTAACCCACCATTGCTAAAGAGTGGTGCTATTTTCACAGGAGAAAGTGGTAAAGAGGTTTTGTTTGGAGAAGGGAAATAATCACAAATTCCTCTAGCAAATTTCTCTGCATCTTCTCTGCTTGAAAAAGCTTTAAATCGGGATCCTTTGATCATTTTGACAGCTTGCAATGCTTCCTTTTTATCTTCATAAACATGAATCCTTTCTGCGTGGGAAAAGTAACAAAGGAAAATTAAAGATGAATAACCGAGGCCACTGTCATTTAAATCACACCTGAAGGCCCTGGGTTTAATAATAAACAATTGTTTCCCAGTTGTCTGATTTTTCTCTCACATTAATATTATAGATTTTTAATCTTGAAGAAAAAAGGCCTTAGCTAACCAAAAGAACACAATTAATAAGCTTGATGATATATATATGTGTGGATATAAATAACATGACATATTTTATACGTACATGAAAATACAAATCATAGACGGGGAGAAAAAATTTTTAACTGATATAACAGAAGAATGGTAATGTCCACTGCCCAATAAAAATGGTCACTAGATATAACTAAGTGAGTCATCAAATAAATACAAATAGACTATAACCATATAAAAAAGGTAATCGACCTATAACAAGATAGAGGTTTACCTTATTCAAAAGACAAATAGGAAAGTTCAGTAACATGCAGTACAGCTGACAGAATGGCAACAAGATACCTGCTTTTTAAATAGATAAATGTGAGTTCAATACCGTATTGTAGAGAGACTGGAAAAGTTACTCATACACAGGGAATGGTTATGCCTTTTGGAGAGCAGTAGCTTTCATGATTTTAAAAACACATACTTTTTTTTTTTTTTTTTTTTGGTGAGGAGATCAGCCCTGTGCTAACATCCGCCAATCCTCCTCTTTTTTTGCTGAGGAAGACGGCCCTGGGCTAACATCTGTGCCCATCTTCCTCCACTTTATATGGGACGCCGCCACAGCATGGCTTGCCAAGCAGGGCGTCGGTGCGTGCCCGGGATCCGAACCAGCGAACCCCGGGCCGCCGCAGCGGAGCGCGCGCACTTAACCGCTTGCGCCACCGGGCTGGCCCAAAAACACATACATTTTGACCCAACACTTCTACTTACCATTTTTATAAAAATAATGTACATTTATATATATATTTATGTTAACTTTAAATGAAAATATATTAAAAATAAAACAATCTTAATTTATACTTCTAAGTAAAACAGCAGGGTCAGGAATGACACACAAAAACAGTTAAGTGATTACTTCTAGTGAGTAAGATTTGAGTGCGGAGGAGGAAAGAAATTACACTTTTACTTTCTATTCTGTACATATAATATATACAGTATTTATGTACTTTTTTTTGCGAAAAGCAACTTTCATAGTAATAAAGATTAAAAACAAAGAGAAAGTGCAACCTGGCCATTTCCAACATCACTAAATGTTCTTTAAAATTCTCATGGTTGAATAATATCCATTCTACTCATGGTACATAATACGTCTAAGCAATCTCCTGTTTTTGGGTACCATCACAAATGATAACATAATAATAATAATGATACTATGCAACTTCTGACATTCTAATCAACATCAACTTTTCATTAATTCTTTCCAATGCTATGGTTTTTTTTTTTGGTGAGGAAGATCAGCCCTGAGCTAACATCCATGCCAATCTTCCTCTTTTTGCTGAGGAAGACCTGCTCTGAGCTAATATCTGTTGCCAATCCTCCTTTTTTTACCCCCAAAGCCCCAGTAGATAGTTGCATGTCATAGTTGCACATCTTTCTAGTTGCTGTATGTGGGACACCGCCTCAGCATGGCTGGAGAAGTGGTGTGTCGGTGCACGCCCAGGATCCGAACCCGGGCCGCCAGCAGCGGAGCGTGCGTACCTAACCGCGAAGCCACAAGGCCGGCTGCTGCTATCTATTTTAATTTTGTTTAAAATTGAAATTCTTTGATGTTTTTAACTATTTACACCTTCATTAGCCATCTGCATTCATTAACATAAAAGGTATTCAGGGGGCTGGCCTGGTGGCATAAGCAGTTAAGTGCGCGTGCTCCCTACAGCGGCCCAGCTTCGCCAGTTCGGATCCTGGGCACGCACTGACGCACCGGTTGGCAAGCCATGCTGTGGCGGTGTCCCAAATAAAGTGGAGGAAGATGGGCAAGGATGTTAGCCCGGGGCCAGTCTTCCTCAGCAAAAAGAAGAGGATTGGCAGATGTTAGGTCAGAGCTGATCTCCTCACAAAAAAAAAAAATGGTATTCAGGTTATGATGAATAAAAAAAAGGAGGGAGATGATTAATCAACGGTAGCCAGCAAAAAAATATTTTTAAGTGAAGTATATCTCACAGAATCCAATTTTCTTAATTTTTAAAAATTCCTTATATAGGTTTACAAAAAATTCAGGAAAGTTCTATATAAAAATGCTAATGATTGGGGCCGGCCAGGTGGCGCAAGCGATTAAGTGCTTGCGTTCCAGTGTGGCGGCCCTGGGTTCGCCGGTTTGGATCCCTGGCGCGCACCAACGCACTGCTTGGCAAGCCATGCTGTGGTGGCGTCCCATATAAAGTGAAGGAAGATGGGCATGGATGTTAGCCCAGGGCCAGTCTTCCTCAGCAAAAAAAAACAAAAAAAAAAACAAAAAAAAAAGAGGATTGGCAGATGTTAGCACAGGGCTGATCTTCCTCACCGAAAAAAAAAAAAAAAAGCTAATGATTAATTTAGGGTGATGAGATGAGGGTGATCTTTTCTTCTCCTGTGTAGTTTGTGAGTCCCCCTGCTGTCTCCACGCACCACCTGTGTACCAGACACCACGCGCTTGTCACATTACCATTTCTCGCTGGGGCATCCTCGTATGCCGGGCATACCCCATAATACAGAGGTGGCTCCATAGAGGCCCTCACCACGGCTTTGTGGCCACCGACCCCAGCCGCAGCACTGAAGGGCACCGAGCAGGTCTTAGCTGTCACCGCATCTTCCTCCGGAGGGTTCAAGCCCACGCTATAACCAAAATCTCGGTCTTCAGAAAAGCTGACCTGCTCAGCCTGGCTCCCTACAGCAGACTTCAAAATCTCTTGTGTGTCCTGGCTGAGAGATGTGGCACCTGGGGCATCGTGGTTGGTAGGGTGTGAAGGCAGTGTTCTTCCATGCTCTAACAAAGCCTGAGCCAATTTTTTCTCAAAAATGAACCTTGTAGTTGATGTAATGGGTCCACATTTTAATCCAGCTTTGACAATTTCTTCTCTAAGGTCATCTGGATTCAGGAGTTTCAGTCGAGCCAAGATGGCATCCATTGTCATTTCCCCTAGGCCCAAGACAACAAAAATCAATTCAATGGCTATAAGTACATCTTTCCTAATAAAAAAAAAAGTGGCAAAAAAGCTAGCTTCAAAGTTTTGTTTCAATCCAGTGTTTCTCCATATTCTTTGGAGTCTATGAACTCTGAGGATTTCCATAAGTTTTTTGTTTCCAAATCTATAATAACCTTAACAAAATTAAGATAAGCAGCTTCTAGTTCATTTGGATAAGGATCTTATAACCTAGTACTATTATGTGATATGATAATATGAACACTCTAGGTGGGGAAGTACACTGGGGAAACAGGCATACTCATTTACTGCTAGTTGGCGTGTAATTGGGAACAAATCCCAAGGAAGGCAATTGGACAATATCCATCAAAACTCCAACTCTAGAAACTTATCCTACAGATATACTTGCACTTTATTCCAAAAATGATGGGAAATCACACAAAGATTTAAACAGAAGAGCCACATAGATAGCTCTGGCAGTCATTTTGTTAATACTAATAACAAACAGCTAATGTTTAATGTTTTGGGGGGTCTTTCCATGCACCCGGATCTATTCTAATTTTAGTTATTTATTTTTTCCCCCAAAGCCCCAGTAGATAGTTGTATGTCATAGCTGCACATCCTTCTAGTTGCTGTATGTGGGGCGCCGCCTCAGCATTGCCAGAGAAGCGGTGAGTCGGTGCGCGCCCGGGATCCGAACCTGGGCCACCAGTAGCAGAGTGCGCGCACTTAACCGCTAAGCCACGGGGCCGGACCACCCGGTTCTATTCTAAGCACTCTGCATACACTAAATTATTTGATAGTCACAATAACTCCGTGTGGTAGGTATCACCATTATTCACCCCCACTTTACAGATGAAGAACCTAAATCACAGAGAAGCTGAGTAACTTGTTCAAGTTATACGGCCACAAACTGTGTATCTGAACTGAAGCTGGAGCTTTAATCAGCGTATTTGGAGAAATAGCAGTTAAATCTACGGAGTCCACGCCTCAGCGTGGTCAGCTAGAACCTGGGGAGAAAGTAAGAAATGACAGGGCAAGACCCCTGTTGCAGTCATGGGACTGGAGACGAGGGCTCAGACTAGAAAAACAGGAGGTCTTAACGACAGACGATTAGATGCTACATGGAGGGGTTTGAGGGATTACAGTCGGCCCAGGATAATACCTACATTTCCAGTCTAGATGCCTAGGAAGTGATTCTACCTGAGGCAGAGAATATTAGAGAGAGAACAAACGGAGATTTAGGCCTTGAGAGGTAGAAACATCTGTTGCACACCAAGTGGACATTCTGATTTTCAAGTCTGAGATTTAGAAGAAGTTCAGAATGGGATACACAGATTTGGAAGTCATCAGCATATATATGGCGGTTATGATACCAAGAGACTAAACCAAGGATAACAAGGAACATACAAAAAGACAGTGAGCCTAAAATGGAATTTGAATAATACCAAGGCTTAAAAGATAGGAGACAAAGAAGAGAAACTCAGGGCCGGCCCAGTGGTGCAGTGGTTAAGTTCACACACTCTGCTTCAGTGGCCCTGGGTTCGCAGGTTTGGATCCCGGGCGTGACCTACACACCGCTCATCAGGCCATGCTGTGGCGGCATCACATATAAAGTAGAGGAAGAGGGACACCGATGTTAGCTCAGAGCTGATCTTCCTCAACAAAAAAAAAAAAGAAGAAAAACTCAGAGGAGAGGAGATCAAGAAAAAATTGGACATATATTAATCATTGAATATATCACTGAAACCAAAGAGGACAGTCATGCACTGCTTAACGATGGAGATATAGTCTGAGAAATGCATCGTTAGGCAATTTCATTGAGTGCGAACATCATAGGGTGTACTTACACACACCTAGGCTGTATGGTACTGATCTTATGGGACCGCTGTCATTGACCGAAAAGTCGTTACACAGTGCCTGACTGGAGAGGGTTTTAAGAAGTGTTTACAGATGAAATGATAGGATATCCAGGATTGGCTTTAAATTACTCCAGCAGGAGAGCAAAACACAGGGAGCAGTGACAGATAAAAAACAAGATTCACAACATAGTAATACCTTTTGTAGCTGGATGATGGGCAGAAGGGGCTCATTATATTATCCTATCTGTTTTTGTGTATTTCTTTTTTTAAAACTTTTTATGATGCCACCTCCCCTCACCCAACTCCAAGATTTCAAAAATGGCTGTTACTTATTTGCAAAGGGGACGTTAGTCTTTTTTTTGTGTGAGGAAGATCAGCCCTGAGCTAACATCTGCCAATCCTCCTCTTTATGCTGAGGAAGACTGGCCCTGGGCTAACATCCATGCCCATCTTCCTCCACTTTATATGGGACGCCGCCACAGCATGGCTTGCCAAGCGGTGCATCGGTGCGCGCCCAGGATCCGAACCAGCGAACCCCGGGCTGCCGCAATGGAACGCACAGACTTAACCGCTTGCGCCACCGGGCCAGCCCCGGATGTTAGTCTTTTAAACAATGAATGTATTGCACAGCCTCCTCTGAAGCTGCCAAAGAACTTGCAAGGGGAGGCCTACTGACCACAGGATTCCACCCAGGGAGAGAACCTAAGTGGATTCTCCGTGTACCTGGATATAAGACAAACAGAAGTGGCTCAGTGATAAGGAACTGATATGAAAGGCACAGGGTAGGCCAAAGCCACATGCAAGGCAAAGCATGGGGGGTGGCATTAGGGGCAGATGCTATGAATAAACAGAGAGGAGCTGCATCCGTTCCTGACAATATTCTGTTTTTCATACCATCCCTGTGTCTTTACTCTAATGCTACCTTTCTAATGTGGGCAGTTTGAAGGCGGTTTTTGCCCTTGCAACCAAGCAAGCCCTAAACAGACCAATTACATTACATTATATCACTAACTGTGTGACCTTGGGCAAGTTATGTAAACTCTAAGCCTCAGTTTTCCCATCTATAAAATGGACATAATAACAGCTCTACTTCTGTAATGAGAATTAGATAAAATAATGCATGTAAAGTGTGTACCACTGACAAATCCATAAATGTCAGCTGCAGCTAGTAAGCTGTCAAGTGACACAGGCTTACTAATCTTGCAGAATACATAATATGCCAGAAAATCAATTTTAATAAAAACAAAATACACACTCTGTGACTAATATTTTTAATACAAGATACAAGTATCTGCTCACGTGTGCAAAAGAAACAAAGGATAAAGTAGAAACTAATGAGACTGCTTACCTGTAGAGGTGGGTGGGAACTGGACAGGAAGAATGGACAGAGAGCCCAGGGCAGGGGAGAGCAGAACTTCTGAATATAAGTTTGTATGTTCTGACTTTCAAGGACATGTTTCTGATTCACGTACTACACGTACTCAAAAAATAAGCAAATAGGGCCGGCCCCGTGGCTTAGCGGTTAAGTGCGTGCACTCCGATACTGGTGGCCCGGGTTCGGATCCCGGGCGCGCACCAACGCACCACTTCTCCGGCCATGCTGAGGCCGAGTCCCACATACAGCAACTAGAAGGATGTGCAACTATGACATGCAACTATCTACCGGGGCTTTGTGGGGGAAAAAGAAAAAAAAGGAAAAAAAAAAAAAAAGCAAATAATCAAAAAGATGAGGGGAGACTCCCAAGTGGAATACAAACCAAAACAAATGAGCTCAACTCAAGGTGGGGGAGAACTAACCTAGCAACTGTGAAAAACAGTAACATGTGACTATATACTCCGACGATGAAGACAAAATGAAGGGTACACAACGACTGTACTCTGGCTGGTAGGTGTGTTCCACAGTGGTATAGGTTAGCAACCCTGAAGCTATTTTATGTGTCCTCAGCAAATAAGTGGATATATTGTGGCTAATGAGAGCCAGGTTCCTCACTGACAGAGAAGGGAGTTACAAATAAGCAGAGGGGGAGGCTAGAGTAGGGGTCAGCCAACTATTGTAAAGGGCCAGAGAGTAAATCTTGAGGCTTTCTGAGCCATAAATTCTCTCAAACGCTCAAGAACAGCTATAGACAACAGAGTGTGGCTGTGTTCCAATAAGACTTTATTTACAGGCCAGCCCCGTGGCTTAGCGGTTAAGTGCTCGCGCTCGGCTGCTGGTGGCCCGGGTTCGGATCCCGGGCGCGCACCAACGCACCGCTTCTCCGGCCATGCTGAGGCCGTGTCCCACATACAGCAACTAGAAGGATGCGCAACTATGACATACAACTATCTACTGGGGCTTTGGGGGAAAAAAAAAAGGAGGAGGATTGGCAATAGATGTTAGCTCAGAGCCGGTCTTCCTCAGCAAAAAAAGAGGAGGATTAGCACGGATGTTAGCTCAGGGCTGATCTTCCTCACACACACAAAAAAAGACTTTATTTACAAAAATAGGTGGGGGCCAGATTTGGCCTAGCAGGCCATAGTTTGCTGACTCTTGGGCTAGAATTGGAAGTATCTGCAGGACCTCGATTGACTGATAGACAGAGACATTAAGATATAAGAAATTGAGTTAGGTCTGCAGACGGGATAATGCTTCCTGGTTTTCCTACTTATAGTATGATTATGTAGGATACTAACATTGGCAAATCTAAGTGAATGGTATACAAGATTTCTTTAACTCTTTATTTTGAACAATTACAAACACAAAAAGTTGAAAAATAGTATTGAGAGGTCCTGGGGACCCATCACCTGGCTTCCCCCAATGGCAACCTCTTACACACCGTACTGCATTACTCAAACCAAGAAACTCACACAGCACGATGAAGTAGACCATGCACCTCATCAGTTTCTGCAGTCACTCTTTTCTTGTGTGTCTTTGTATATAATTCCATGACCATTTATCACACATACAGATTCATAACCAATTACCGAACTGTTCCATCACCACAAAGATCTCCCTACTGCTGTTCCTTTATAATTACATCCAATCTCCTCCACCATCCTCCACCCCTGGCAACCACTAATTTGTTTTCTATTGCTACAATTTTTTTCATTTTGAGCATGTGATATAAATGGAATCATACACTATAGACCTCCTGGGATTGGCTTGTTTTACTCAGCATAATGTCCTTGAGATCCATCCACGTTGTTGAGGGGATCAACAATTCCTTCCATTTCAATGCTGAGTAGCATTCCATGATGTGAATGTGCCAGTTTGTTTAACCACTCACCTCCAAGAGACATCTGGGCTGTTTCCAGTTTTCGGCAATTACAAATAAAGTTGTAAACATTCGTATATGGGTTTTTGCATGATTTTAGAGTCGCTGCACCTTTAATAGTTTCACCAGCAGTAAATGAGAGACCCAGTTTCTCAGCATTTAGTAACACTGGTATTTTTTATTTTAGCCATTGTAATAGGTGTGTAGTGATATCTCATTGTAGGTTTAATTTGTCTTTCGCTGCTGGTTCGTGATGTTGAAGATCTTTTTACATGTGTTTATCTGCTCTGTACTATTTCTATAATTTTTTATAAGTCTAAAATGCTTTAAAAATTAAAGACAAATTTTTAATGAAAAGAGACACTCCAAACTCTCATCTCTTAGCCCCATACCCTATTGGCCACAGTCGTCCTTTAGCTTTAGTGTCTGGGTACTTTTTAGTCTCCGTGTCCTGCACTGAATCTGTTGACAGTGTTGACAGTGTAAGTGGAAAATCAGCACGCTATTTACTAGAGGTGCCACTTAAAACATTCTTAAGGGGATGAGAGAAAGTACAACAATCACCAACCCAACAGGACAGAGGGCCAGCTGGACCTGGTGTGAACAAGCCTACATCCCCGGCTGGCCTCAGCCTCCTCCTCGTGTTATCTCGGCCACACCCTCCTGGGGCCTGTTTCCTCAGCTGTAAAGCCAGAACATGATAAATAAGTCACCCCAAGGACCCCTTTAGCCCTTAGATTCCACGGTGAGGTCATCAACTTTGCCTTCTGCTAATAAAATTTCATCTTACTATCCTGGGACTAGAGTAACTCCTGTTTACCCTCCAGAAAGACACGACATTTTCGAGCAAGAGGGTGAACGAAATGTGAACAAGGACGCCCTGGATGCACGCAGGGCGCACACCGCCTGTAAGCCTGTACACAGAGGGGTGAGCGGCGCGCAAGAAATAAACACAGACTGCGGGAAAACGGAAGAGGGGCTTCTCAGTCAAATCAGGGATTCAAACACACAAGCGAACAAGCAGAACTGCCGAGAGACTCGGCACCGGAGCGTCCAGCCTCACAGCTCTTCCACGGTCTGTCCGCTGAGAACGGCTGAGTTTTACCCCAGCTCTTTTCCCAGAACATCACACTCAGGCCATTGCGAGGGCCCAGGGCGGCGAAAGGAGGGGGACTCGCAGAGGGAGGAAGAGAGGGGAAGGGAGGGGCCCAAGATAGCGAGAGAAGGGGGGCCTGGGGAGGAGGGGAACCGGGAAAAGGGGAGAAGGAGGGCCCGGCGACGGAAAACGACCCGGGATGACGAATGAAGGGGGTCTGGGGAGAGGAGGGGAGAGTCTGGGAGAAAAGGAGGGGGACCGGGGAGGGGAGCCGGCGTGGGGCGCGGGTCCACTGGCGGACGGGCCTTACCTGGGTCGGGGGCCGGGCCCGCGGCCGCGCAGAGCAGGGGGTCGCGGACCCCACTCCGGCCCAGGCCCCGCGGCCGCTTCTCCAGCCGCCGCACCAGCCAACGCACCGCGATCAGCAGCACCGAGGCGCCCAGCAGCTCCCAGGCCAGCGCCGCCCACTCGGCCGCCGCCAGCTGAGGCCACAGCATCGCCGCCGCC